CGGACAAGTTCGATAACCGCCATTATCCGACCATAATTACTGGAGTTATTACCCTTGGTTTCATTAATGCGATGCATGCGTTCCATGATGTTGTATTGCACTCATTGATCTACCAGTTATGTTGAATGATTTCTCTTTTAATATCAATTACTCACAAATACTTCATATATTTCAATCATAAAAACAACTGCTCATTCAATGTGTGACGGGCGTATTATATACCGCTCGCGGTAACCTTGTTTTGTTAAGCCCTTGCTTTGGTTTATTATGTCGTCATTTAAAAAAAAAAAAATATATAAGAAAGAAAAAGTGGTAAATAATTTCTTATTTTTTTAAATCACAGACAGAGTGGTCAGCCAATCAAAGTTGCAGTTGGTGTGGTTATCCAGGAAATGGTCAAATCAGAAGTGTCCGGCGTCATTTTCACCAATGACCCTGGAACAGGCAGCCCAAATCTGATGATTCTGGATGCGTCTTATGGTTTAGGAGAGGTGGGTGTATGTTGAGCTGGTTTTAAATGGAATTTAATTGGTCCATCTGCCGGCAGTTAGCTAGGAGATTTCTTTAGGAATTACTGTCACAAATTATATCAGAAAGACAATAGTATTAGTATCAGGAGAAGTTCTGGTTAAAATGTAATCAAGTGTAATAGGAGTGGGAAAATGCATGCACAGCCAGACAGGGGTAATATACCGGTACCCTCTGAACTCTAGACAGACGCTCTACCAATTGAGCTACCTGGTCGCTGCGTATCAACCTAGTCTAGTTCCATTACATTCCTCCGTCCTTTTTTTAAGTCTTTGCCCCCAAAGACACAACTATTGACAACCCAGGATAAGGTATCCCCTTGCCAAGCATTGTTACAGTACTTGAAACAAAGGTTGGTCACAGGCACCAACTGTGGTAGGAGCAGACAAATGTACAGCCAGACCAGGGTCAAACTCAATATATAGACATTAGCAGTCTTGGCCCCGTTTGTTTCAGCCAGATTTGCTTAGCTAGTTGTAAAAACAATTTTTCAAAATTTAATTTTGGAGGAAATAATCTTAGAATTTACAAAAGTTACTTTTTTTTGTTTCTTATAATCAAAGGATAATTTTGAATCCCTTTAAATACATCTTCTTTTCTTTCAATTTCAAACTTTTTGAAGAACAAGTTTTTTTATTAACTTCTGACTAAGCTAACCAAGCTTAAAGGGTTTGGCCTGCCAATAACCTTTTCATTTCCTTCCCCAAGCAAATTGGAAATATTTCATTAACTCAATTTGGACCTAAATCTATGAAGGAGCTGTAATTCAGTATGTAGGAAATCAAAATTCTGGATTTTAATTGGTAGTGAAGCAATGCCACTGTTATTTTCTCCCCATATAAATAAAAGATTCTTTTAGATACTAAACACATCAGTGGCGACGTGCAGTTTTATCCTGGGGTCTATTTATTTCAGTACTCGAGCATGTAAAAAAAACTGTGTCTATTACAGTATTCAATTTGTGATGACAAAATTGACCTGTTTATCAATATTGATGATAAACTCTACATCGTTTGTCGTGTTCGTTTGATTTTGACAGGCTGTGGTGTCAGGGAAGACAACTCCAGACACCATTACTGTATTCCGTAGTTGGGACAATCAGGTCTCGATCAAGCACAAAAAACTTGGTGACAAGAAAGTCAAAATGACTCTTAAAGGTTGGTGTCTACTGGTAAACTCTTGAAATGTATATCAGGTTAATTTCGTAAGCAATCATAGGATATGTAAACAATATTTTTACGTGAATTATGAAATGCTCCTTGTACTTACCATTCGGGGAGACAAGAACAAATGTCTGTGTCGATTTTCAAGAAATTCTTGGAATCCAGATAATAGATTTATTGGCAACATCACATGAATTTGTTCATCTGACGCATGCTGTAAAAGCAGAAATTTTACCATTGTGTCGCTCTCTTAACTAATCCTGGTGTGGGAATTTTTGTACTAGTATTGGTTGGGAAATCTATATATATCTATAATCTGTATAATGTATAAATAATGGTTGAATGTTGCTTGAATGGATAAATTTTACTAGACCTTTAGCCGAAGTGAAAAACATTCATTAACACAAAAAATGCTTCAAGATGATTAATTTATTCAGGTAAATCTAAAAATATGTTTTATTTACACAACAAGTTGTTTTACAGAGGAGGGTGGTGTGGAGGAGACGGAGACGGAGATGGACAGTGCAGCCTCCTGTTGTCTGACTGATGATCAGATCTTACAGGTGTCACAAATCGCATTACAGGTAGGTTAAATATACAGGTAACACAGGTAAGTAAGGTATACAGGTAATACCACTACAGGTAAGTTATATATACAGGTAATAACACTACAGGTATGTAAGATATACAGGTATGTAAGATATACAGATAATACCACTACAGGTATGTAAGATATACAGGTAATACCACTACAGGTAAGTTAGATATACAGGAAATACCACTACAGGTAAGTTATATATACAGGTAATACCACTACAGGTATGTAAGATATACAGATAATACCACTACAGGTATGATATAGTTACAGATATAACCACTACAGGTAATTAAGTTATATATACAGGTAATACCACTACAGGTGAGGAAGATATATAGGTATACCATCCACTACAGTTAAGTTAAATATAAAGGTAATGCCACCACAGGTAAGTCAGATATTTGGGTCTAATACCACTATAAGTAAATCAAATATACTTTACCCACAAATATAATGTATAACTCTTTCACAAATCCAAGGTATAATGCTTACATTGCAGGTTGAGACTTACTTTGGAAGTCCTAGAGACATTGAATGGGCGTTGTCAGCTGATCAGTTCTACCTTCTACAGGTAAGTACTTACCTAAAAAATGCTTACATCTCTCACCTGTCTTGGCTGTCCATAGCCATATTAGCTAAACAAAATTTATGCAAATTTTGCCACGCCACTTTATGGGTTGGAGGTGGTGGTGGTGGTGGGGGGAGGAGGACATGTAGTGTTCCACATGTCTGTCCTGTCCCAAGGTCAAGGTCACCATTAATAATTTTAGAAATGACCCAGGGTTCCAAGGTCAAGGCCAAGCTTACCAGAAACTTGTTATGTTTCAAGAAGTTTGGTCAAAATTCAAGGTTCAGGTTACCACTACTAGTTCCAAAAATTCGTCATAAAATGACAGGGTGCATTTATGTCTTACAGAAATTTTCTATTTTTTTTTAATTTTCATATAACGTATTTTCAACAACCAGAACCTGATTGAAAAGCAAAAGAGGGCATAGATATTTGGATAGCAAGTCAGAGCTGGTATTTAGTCTAAAAAAAATATGAACCGATAAGGCGATAAGGCTTTCGATTATCAATCAGTTGACTCCTTCCCATTACAAACCGATCATCGATTATGATTTTAAACCAACTGCCCATCACTAGCTTTGAGATGTATCTAACCTATTACTTGAAGTCCTTTCATTCTTGTTCCTAGTATTGAAAAGCTCTATTCTGATAACTTTAATACTCACCGTTTCCATGGTAACTTCCAGGCTCGACCAATCACAACCCTGGACCAGGAGACGGAGGAAGAGCTATGGTGTGAATTTGATGATGCTCTGGTCACTCACAGAGAATGTCTCACCACTGCCAATATTGGGTAGTTATTATCAAGATTTTCAAAGCATTTTTTCCTGAAATGTTTTAAGTTTCAAATGTATTCATTACAATTGCTCACAGGTTGAACTCATTCACCCCTGAAATTTAATAATGAACTATTCCAACCATTGAATTAGAAGAGTTCAAATGTGTCTTCAGGGGTATATGAGTTAATGCAGGTATTTTAAGTGGGTGTTTATCTGTACTCTCATGGTATACATATATGTAATGTTTGGCAACCAATGTGAGGACATATCGCAATGTAAGATTTAAAATATTCAAGGATCCCTGTACCACTGCCAAAAACTGTAACTCAAGGTATGGTATTGGGGGGGACTATTACTTGGGGGACTATCACTTGGGGGGTACTATCACTTGG